TTAATGGGGAAGGGTTAAAAACCACCTTAATTAATTACTTAATTATACCTAAGATTTGTAAATGTATTTTAAATTTAACTCTATTTTATTTGAATATTCATTGAAAATAGCCAATATTTAAAACTGTATGTAGTTTTCGTTGAGGAGGGTATGTGCTATGGTGAATGCTGTGAAATGTGTAAGCCTGTTGATTCACAGACCTATACCCCTGGGGCAAATAATACATTATATGTTAATAAAAAAAAACTATGTAGTTTTAAAAAGTGGTTGCAAACTGTCTCTACATATTCAGACAAATATGGAAAATTTTGATCATTACCAGTAAATCTGTAAGATAAATTATTAAATGAATCTTCTTGTGGGATGTATATTACCTGAGTTAAATTACTGCACTTAATTCATAATATACTTCTGAATTCATAACATTTAATTCATAACATACTTTCTAAATTCTCTACATCACTCTATTTCTGTAGTGTACTGCTAGCTATGTAATTTCACTTGTGTAAAATTTTGTTATGCCCATTCCTGATTTCACAGAACAACTGTAACTAATTTATGAATTTGAACTAGTCCAATCCTCTGTCCCTAGGTGGTGTCCCAGAAAGAAACTTATTTGTATTATTATGGAAATCTGTAACAATGAGCTCACATTTTCTTAACATTTTGATATTTAATATATTATTTGAATAAAGTTGAAATACCAACTTGACTCATTAGAAAGAGACACAGTTGACTTATGAGGGAAAATAAAATATTTGAAATTAGAGAATGTGAATTGAAGATTAAAGTCCAGCACTTAAAACTGTATGGATTTGAGCAACTCACAGTTTATGTATAAAAAGGAGATAAGCATGACTCTTTTTTAGTATCCCCTTCCATAAAAATCTTTTGATATTTAATTAAATGATATGTTTATGATAGTGATCTAAAACTTTGAAAATGCTTGACAATAGAAACATTTATTTATTTATTTAAGAGAGAGTGGGTGGAGGGGCAGAGAGAGAGAATCCTTAAGCAGACTACTCACTGAGCCCAGAGCCTGACACTGAGCTTGATCTCAAGACCCTGATAGCATGACCTGAGCCAAAACCAAGAGTCTGACATTCAATAGACTGAGTGAGTCACCCAGGTGCCCTTACAATAGAACTTCTAATGATAATTATAAATAATAAGTTAAAATTTTATATTAGCACAAACTGAGCACCTTATATCAGGAGTGCCAAAAATAGATTACATTATGTATACACACACACACACGCACACACACACACACACAAAAACACTTAGTTGATAATATTGTTAACCCTTGTTATAATAAATCAGGATAATTATTTTAACATTATTTTCACCAAGACTCTCTTAATATTTATTATAGAGGACCAGTAACTTATTCTATAAATGCATATCGAGACCACAATGAAATACCACTGCCTATGCACCAGAATTGCTATGGAAAAATGGACACTCATACATTACTGAAGGGAGTATAAATGTCACACCAACTTTAGAAAACTGTCAGTTTCTAATGTAGCTAAATACATATCTACACTGTGGCTCAACATTTCTACTCCTATAAACAGACCCAAGAGAAATGAATGCTTATGTCCACATAAAGACTTGTATGGTAATGTTTAGAGCAGCTTTATTCATAATTAGCTCAAAACTGGAAACAACCCAAATGTTGTTCATCAAGAAGATAATTAAAATTATTGTACCCAAGGCACTCTACACATTTAATGCAATCCTTATCAAAATACCAACAGCATTTGCACAGAGCTAGAACAAACAATCCTAAAATTTGTGTGGAAACATAAAAGACCCCTAATAGACAACGCAACCTTGAAAAAGAAAACTGAAGCTGGAGACATCACAACTCTGGACTTAAGTTATACTAAAAAGCTGCAGTAATCAAAACAGTATGATACTGGGACAAAAATATACACATAAATCAATAGAACAGAATAGAAAATTCAGAAATAGACCCACAACTATTTGGACAATTAATCTTCCACAAAGCAGGGAAGAATATCCAATGGGAAAATGAATGTCTCTTGAACAAATGGTGTTGGGAAAAGAGGACAGCAACATGCAGAAGAATGAAACCAGATCACTTTCTTACACCATAAACAAAAATAAATTCAAAGTGGGTTAAAGACCTAAATGTGAGACCTGAAACATAAATTCTAGAAGAGAACACAGACAATATCTTCTTTGACATTGTCCATATTGACATTTTTCTAGATATGTCTCCTGAGATGACAGAGATAAAAGTAAAAATAAATAGTTGGGACTACATCAAAATAAAAAGCTTCTGCACAGTGAAGGAAACAATCAACAAAACTGAAAGGCAACCTATGAAATGGGAGAAGATACTGCAAATGACATTATCTGATAAAGACTTAATATCTAAAATACATAGAGAACTTATAAAACTTAGCACCCATAAAAACAAACAACCCAGTTTAAAAATGGGCAGAAGATGTGAATAGACATTTTTCCAAAGAAGACATCCAGATGGCCAACAGACACATGAGAAGATGCTCAGTCAATATCACTCATCATCAAGGAAATGCAAGTCAAAACTGCAATGAGATGTCAATTAACCCCTGTCAGAATGGCTAAAATCGACAACACGAGAAGAGACAGGTATTGGTGAGGACGCAGAAAAAAGGGAACTGTCTTGCACTGTTGGTGGGAATGTAAAGTGGTGCAGCCACTCTAAAAGACAGTATGGAGGTTCCTCGAGAAGTTAAAAACAGGACTACCCTCTGATCTAGCAATTGCACTACTGGGTATTTACCCAAAGATCATAAAAACTCTTATTCAAAGTTATACATGCACCCTGATGTTTATAGCAACATTATCTACAATAGACAAACAATGGAAACAGCACGGGTGTCCTAATGGCTGCAATGACTGATGAATGGATAAAGAAGATGTGGTATACTTACCGGCATTGGGGAAGGTATGTGCTATGGTGAATGCTGTGAATTGTGTAAGACTGATGATTCACAGACCTGTACCCCTGAAACAAATAATACATAATATGTTAAAAAAAAAAAAAAAAGAAGAAGAAGATGTGGCATACACACACACACACACACACACACACACACATACAAAACATAATATTATATTACCTGGCCATAAAAAAGAATGAAATCTTGTTGTTTACAATGACATGGATGGAGCAAGAATATTATGCTAAGCAAAATAAGTCAGTCGGAGAAAGACAAATACCATATAATTTCACTCCTATGCGGAATTTAAGAAACAAAACAAATGAACAAAGGACAAAAAAAGAGAGACAGAAGCAAACCAAGAAACAAAATCTTAAGTATCGAGAACAAACTGATGGTTTCCGGGGGGAGGTTGGTGGAGTGTTGCATTAAATAGATGATGGGGATTAAGAAGTGCAGTTGTTATGATGAGCACTGGTGTTGTATGGGTGTTGAATCACTATATTGTGTACCTGTAACTAATAGTACACTGTATGTTAACTAACTGGAATTTAAATAAAAATTTAAAAATAAAAAAAATTTTAAAAATTCTATTCGGTAGAGACTTGAGTTTCTTTTCTATATAAAGATAGAATAAAATGTGGGAATAAAATAAGTCTCCACCTTCAAAAAGTTTAACTTTATTGGTTCAGAAAAAAAATCTGTGGTGTGGTAAGATATATATATTCTTTTTACAATTTATGAAATTAATGATCCAATGGAATTAGGTAGGCTTATAAAACTAGGAATCACATATGTAGCTTTTATGATAATCCAGTGATTCGTAAGAAAATTGTGAATTTCTAGGAAGTTTTAGAACAAATTGCTTCTAAGCAACAAAATACATATCCTCTAAACTGTTTTTATCAAATATACTGTCTCTATTACAGGCTGAATTATATTTTCTCAAAAATGCGTATTGAAGTCCTAATCCCCAGGACCTCAAAATACGACTACATCTGAGTTGGGGTCTTTAAAGAAGTAATTAAGTTATAATGAGTTATAATGAATTATAATATATAATAGTTATAATGAGTTCACTAAGGTGATCTGGCATCACCTTATGTGATATGACTGGCATCCTTATAAGAAGAAGGAACTGGGGACATAAACATTAGCAGGGGAAAGACAAAGTGAAGACACAGATAGATAGCTATCTATAAGCCAAAGAGACCTAGAATACTTCCTTCCCTCATGACCCTTGGAAGAAACCAACCTTTCTGACACTTTGATCTAGGACATTAATAATTCTTCCAAAATTGTGACAAATAAATTTCTGTTGTTTAAGTCATCCAGTCTGTGGTAATTTGCTTTGGCAGCCCCAGCAAACTAACATACTCTTTGATTAATTCTAATATAATCATCATTATGAATCTGAGATGAACATTTAGGCTATTGGGAATGCAAAGCTTCATTTTATGACTTTCCATTATAATTTCTAAGAGTTTCATTAATCTGATCAATTAATAAAATACTTATAAAAAACCCAAGAAGGACAGAAAAAGGAAAAAAAAAATGTTATCTCCTGGTGTAGAACTAGAGATGGGAACTTTGGGGGGAATGAACTGTTGTTCCTTATAAGCCCTTACACACTTATTATTTTTTAATCATTTACATTTACTTTGATTAAGTTAGATAGATGGAGATGGGTAGGTGGGTAATTAGAAAAGAAAAATAAACAAACCAGTGGGCAGTGTGATCACATTTAAACACTTCAAATCAACAATGAAGTTTCATTTAATCCTCCACTTGTAAACTATTCTCTTTTTTCTCTTTAAAGTTCATAAACAGAATTCAAATCACCCAAGCAGAAGTAATTTGCTGCTTTTAAGCCAAAGCCCTGACTGGCTACAGAGTTGCCTCTAGGAATTAACGAGAACAAAATCCCGATTAAACAACTAATTGGCTTGTCTACTAATGAAAAGAAAAACAAAGTACGTTGCTCTACCCTGAGACAGAGTCATAAAAACGGAAGTTTTCAGAACCACCTCAGAGAAAATGTTTAAATCGTTAACAATAAAATCCAACAAGGTGAAGCCTAGAGAAGGGAACGATGAGAATAAACAAGGTCCTGATCCAAGCAATCAGCTTCAGCAATCCACAAGACAGGTATGCTACTTACATTCCTAAATCAGTCTTGATTATCATCATTTTTTGTCTAGTGATTGATTTTTGTCCAGTGTTTTAATATATGCTGTGGTATATAAGATTGCTGTTTCACCTGCTACCATTTGGGTCATGCTATTTGTCTTTGGAAGTTTATCCACATTGTTTTATATATACTATAAATATTTGCTTTTTTTTAAAATGTATTTGCTTTAAAACAGGTTGATAGATTTTTAGAAGATTACAGTAGGAGTTGGAAAAGCCAAGAAAAACTTCTCATTGCTGATTTACACTTCTGCATAATTCAAAAAGAAATAATTTCTCAAATATCAAGTGGGCTATATGAATTAGTTTCAACAAAGAATGTTAAACATCCTGGCTGTGGTAAATTACAATTTAACAATAATTGCTTTAGACTAGGAGTTCCTGAAACGGAAATAGTTTTGCCATTCAGGACAATTGGCAACGTATGGAGTTACTTTTGATCGTCACAGCTCAGGGTAGAGATGTTACTTGCATGTAGTCAGTAAAGACCAGAAATGCTGCTAGACATCCTAGAATGTACAGGGCAGCCCTTCACAATATAGAATTATCCAGTTCAAAATTTCAGTACTACCAAAGTGGAGGAACCCGGCTCTAGATAAGTTTTTTTCATAAGTTCTAGGTCTATTCATCTGTGAAATGATGATAATACCTGCTTCATAGCCTGTTTTATAAACTAGAGACAATATATCTAAAATGCATACTAGAAATTAGCAGCCTCCCTTTCAAGTAAGTGTGGCCCTATTTGTGAGTTCTCTCTAGTGGAATGCGAGTGACTAGTGTTCATATGATAATAGTATAGCACCATATGATAATAGCATTGTATTATATAGGAAAAGGTCTCTATTTTCTAGAGACACATACTGAAGCATTTAGGGATCAATTATCATGTCTAAAATTGACTCTTAAACACTTCACCAATAGGGTGATGATAAAGTACTGGAAGGGGCACCTGGCTGGCTCATTCTGTGGAGCATGTGACTCTTGATCACAAGGTTGTGGGTTCAAGCCGCATAATGAGTGAAGATTACTTAAAAATAAAATATTTTTTAAAAGAAAAAAAATAAAGTGCATGGTAGAGGCTTCCCAAATATCGATTAATATTATTATAATAATTTGTGTTTATATGATAAATATAAGTCCAAAGTGATAATTATATGATCAATAGTCACTTATAACTATCTATAGAAAATTTTCATAAATTATTGACTAGATTTACCTAAAAGTTCTGTGTAAGATTTTTAGAGCAATAATTATTTTCCCATCTAAAAGACTCAGATGAAGGATGTGAAGTACAAGCAGGAGTGTACCTCAGGGACTAAAATAGCATGGTCTAATGACTCAGGTTTAAATGAGCCTAGAGTATAGAAAACACCAAGATTACTTAGCATTTGCCCTGGAAAATTTGTCTTTGATTTCCAATTAACAATTGACTATGTTTGCACTGGAGAGCAGATATGGACAATGTGCTTAGCATTGCTTCATGAGAGTACCCTTGAATTTTTTCTAATTCTTATCCTAATATAAATATTCCCATACTTTGAAAATTATTTATATGTTTAAAAACTCATGGAATATCACAGATGTTGAACCGGTTATTTTCCTTCAGCTAGTCTTGTGTTTCTTGCTGGAAAAGTCACTTCAATGATATTTAATCCCTGCCTGTCATAATTATTTTCCAACAGAACACATAAAAATAACTAATATATTATTCTCTCAGAGAACATATAGCTAACAATAATTACTATATGCCAGGAAAGTTGCTATCCTGTTCCAAGTACTATTGTATTAAATCTTCAGAGTAACCATGAGTCTTGTTATAATTTGTTGCTTACACACAACTAACAACTGGCAAAGTTTGGACTGGAGCCCTGTTCTATCTGATTGTTGCACCTGAGAGCTAAATCTCTAGGCTATACTTCTTCAGAACAAATGAATTATAGTTGAATCAACTTTCTAAATACTCAACTCACTGGATAAAGGAATGTTAGAAGGCAAAAAGAACTGAGACTCCTTACACAGTTCTTTCCTTCAGAAACAGTAAGATGGTCTTCAGCTTCCAAGTGTTTAAATTTCTTTCAAACTTTTTCTTGTGACTGAGTTCCAGTTTCACCACATTGTGGACCCTGAACCGCCAAGGAAATGTTGGAAAAAAACAAACAAACAAAAAAAGACTGGGGGCATCACATTGCCTGATTTCAAGCTATATTACAAAGCTGTGATCACAAAGACAGCATGGTTCTGGCACAAAAACAGACACATACACCAACTGAACAGAATAGAGAGCCCATATATGGAATTTCAACTCTTGTCAACCAATCTTTGACAAAGCAGGAAAAAATATCCACTGGAAAAAAGACAGTCTCTTCTATAAATGGTGTGGAGAAAATTGGATATAGCTATATACAGAAGAATGAAATTGGACTATTCTCTTACACCATACACAAAGATAAACTCTAAATGGATGAAAGACTTCAGTGTGAGATAGGAATCCATCAAAATCCTAGAAGAGAACATAGGCATTAACCTCTTCAACATTAGCCACAGCAACTTCTTTCAAGACAGGTCTCCAAAGGCAAGGGAAACGAAAGCGAAAATGAACGTTTGGGACTTCATTAAGATAAAAAAAACTTCTTCACAGCAAAGGAAACTGTCAACAAAACAAAAAGGCAACCCACAGAATGGGAGGAGATATTTTGCAAATGACACTACAAACAAAGGGCTGATATCCAAGATCTATAAAGAACTTCTCAAACTCAACACCCAAAAAACAGATAATCAAGTCAAAAAATAGGCAGAAGACATGAGCAGACACTTCTCCAAAGAAGACCTACAAATGGCTAACAGATACATGAAAAAGTCTTCATCATTATTAGCCATCAGGGAAATCCAAATCAAAACCACATTGAGATACCACCTTACAACAGTTAGAACAGCAAAAATTGACAAGGCAAGAAAAAACATATATTGGAGAAGTTGTTGAGAAAGGGGAACCCTCTTACACTCTTGGTGGGAACGCAAATTGGTGTAGCCACTTTGGAAAACAGTGTAAAAGTTCCTCAAGACATTAAAAATAGAGCTACTCTATGATCTAGTAATTGCACTACTGGGTATTTACCCCAAAAATATAGATGTAGTGAAAAGAAGGGCCATATGCACCCCAATGTTCATATCAGCCTGTCCACAATAGCCAAAATGTGGAAAGAGATAAGATGCCCTTCAACAGACAAATGGATAAAGAAGATGTGGTCCATATACACAATGGAATATTAGCCATCATAAAGGATGAATACCCAACTTTCGCATCAGCATGGTTGGGACTGGAGGAGATTATGCTAAGTGAAATGAGTCAAACAGAGAAAGTCATTATCATATGGTTTCACTTATTTGTGGAACGTAAGGAATAGCATGAAGGACATTAGAAAAGGGGAAAAATGAAGGGGAAGAAATTGGAGTGGGAAAAGAACCATGAAAGACTATGGACTCAGGGAAACAAATGGAGGATATTAGAAGGGAGGGGTGTGGGGGAGTTGGGTGAGCCTGGTGGTGGGTATTAAGGAGGCCATGGATTGCATGGAGCACTGGATCCATGCACGAGCAATAAATCATGGAACACTACATCAAAAAATAATGATGTACTGTATGGTGACTAATATAACACAATAAAAATAAATAAATAAATCCTTAAAAAAATATAGGAATAGTAATACTGGAGAAGTACTTAGACTAAACACAGGTAGAACAACTCTAGTGTATATCCCATGACAGTTATACTGGAGAAGTACTTAGACAGGTAGAACAACTCTTGTGTATATCCCATGACATTCTGATGGTACCAATTTATGGATATTAACATGAAGCCTATGGGCATCACATTACATCTTAAAAGGCATATTTTGGGAAATTATTTGCATCTATTCTTTAGATGTAATAATACATTGGTTGAGGAAATAGAGTTATTCTCTAGTTTCAAATATGCTAAATATTAAAGATGACAGAAAGTCAAAAATCATTTTTATCAATAGGATATAACCTTTTAAAATGACATTTAAACAACAAGTTTCTGAAATACAAATAGATGTTTTGAGGCCTATAGGAAGATATTCAGGAATGAATAAATCGATTTACATTGTTCTTTTAAAGTTTCATTTAAAGAGTTTGTTCTTAAACCAAAATATCATAGGTGACTTCCATTGGTCAATAACCAATAAATCAAGATCTGCAAATTAAGACTATTCCAAACTCTCATACTACAGAATAAGACACCATTCACATAAATCAACATTTGTATACATGAAAAGACTATGATGGAATGTTTATGAATAACATCATAATATGATGTAAAAGTACTTGAAGTCAGAGGGCTTTACCACTACTTCATAATATATCCAGGGATCCATATCTTTCTAGCTACTTAATCAATTTCCTACTCAAGAACATAAAAATAATAATAGCTGTCTTGCCTAAAGCATATGGTTACTGTCAGCTTAAATTAAATCATCTGATTAATTTATTTTCCAGTTTAAAATGTTCCTGACTTATAGTGCCTATAAATAATGTCAAACGCCACATCAACACTTGTGAAATTCTCAAGGCCCTTATCCCTGCCTATTTAGCTAGCCTTATTTTCTCACACTATTTCCCATTCAACCACTTCTACTTTAGTCTCCCCCAAGTATACAATCACACCTTGGACTACTGTTAAAGAGGCATCCTCTGCCTGAAATATTTTCCATATCCTGTTCATTCAAAAACAAAATCATCTTGATTTGTAATACTCTCCTCCCTTTCCTTCTCCTCCTGTAGAATTGACCATTCCACCCTTCTGTCCTGTTCTATCCTCTACAGACATTGTCTCATCACCTATAACATTTCCTTACATTTACATTTTTTAGTGTTTGTTTCCCCTTCTAAACTGTGAACAGCTTGGGAGTCAACATTTCCATAGTCTTTCCTTATATCTCCATCCCCGTAGGAACATCCTCAGACAAACACTGGCCACATCCAGTGAGACATACATACATTTCAAAGGAAAACTTAGAGGCACAGACAAATGAGACAGAAACAAATGAAAGCACAGGGAGAAGAAAGAAGAGAGCTCTGAATTAAGAAACTGAACTACTTTCTTCTCTCCCTCACTTTAAGTTCTACTACTAAAGACATAAACCAGAGCTAACACTGGAGCTGTGGGGAATGAGGACTGAAATTGGGTGGAACATGTGCCAGGGAGATGCAGCAACCACACGGACAAAAAGAGAGTGCCTGAGGCCAGCAAGCCGTGAAGGTTAGGGTTGATTATTCAATAGTAGAGCCAAGAATATTCATTTAAGTACAAGAATTATCATTTGTAGTATACCATAAACAAATGATAAACTTTGATGATTGGCTTGATCACTGAATGAAAAACTCTGTTATATTTTACATTTAGATTTCTTTTATGTAAATCTGTCATGTACAATCTTTATTTTGTTTCTTAAAGGGAGAAAACAAAAGTGAAAACAAATCTCTCCAAACCAAGATGACTCCTGTCACATCTGAAGAGTCACACACCAAAATACAAGGTCAGAATCCAAATCTATAGGAAAAAATCTATAAAGTAAAATGCATCTCTCTCTAAATGTGTTACCTTAACTAGGTAGATCACCTGGGGTAAACCATACTTGAGATACCTAAGGATCTGAATGTTTATAAAAACATTATTTCTTCATTCAGTCACTTACTCAATATATGTTTTTTTAATACCTACTGTGTGCCAGGCATCAGTCTATGGACAAGAGATATAGTAGCAAACAATATGGGCCAAGTCTGTGTTAACATAGGCATATAATGAACAATGTAATTTCAAATAAGTTTCATGAAATAATAAAATTAATGTGGCTTGTACATGTTTAAAGTTTCAATGATCAGGCCTCTGCTCTTCTTCCTTTAAACTTTCTTCATTAGAAATCTTATCTACTCCTAAGGCTACCATAACTCATTCCTATATCAGTGATTCCACAGCAGGCTCAATTCCTTTTTGAAGACCATGTCCAATATTTTGTAAGTAACCATTGGACATATACACCTGTACATTCTGCTACTATTCTGTTTTACTATGAGTTATTTTATAGCAGTGATGGTTTCAAATCAACATTTCTTCTCACATAAAAATACAACCTTAATGGTAGGAAACCAAGGATCACATCTTTGGGACGACAAGTTTATTCTTATCTTTGTTATACTTTTTTTGAAGTGTATTTGTAAGCTTAATTTTTCACAGTTGGTAGTAAAAACTCTTGTGGAAGCTTCATTTAACAGAGAAGCTTTTTGAGTCGACAGGAAAAAAATTAGTTTCATTTAAATCTGCAGAGTTAGCATGTCTTCAAAGGCTTTAATAACAGTTATATTTAAGATATTTTGTTTTGAAAAAGCAAAATTATTAGTGTTTAAAGATAGCCTTTTATATGTGCTTGGTATTTTTATATTCTTCACTTCAAAACATGCAGGTGCAATGTCACAATATCTGCAGATGTTGATTTCTGATTATAGAACTCTTATCTTCTGCAGAGCGTGGTTTAATTTTTATCTGCAATGGAAATGAAGAACATAATATATTTTGGATTCAAATAGAGATAACTTTCTAAAGTCCTCTTTTGATTATAATCATCTTTCTTAGGCTTCCACTTCACTTATAGCACATTAAGTCCTTCTTTAAAAAATGTTTTGGTACCAGTAGAGGATATATAAATGACTTCCCTAATAGTTTATGATATTGGAAGGTGACTTAGTGTGGAAATGGATCAAAGTTAGGTGCCCATAGCTAGTATGGTATGGTAGGTTGACTAATGGCTCTTCAAAGACATCCATACCCTAATCTCTAAAAACTATGAATTTTTTACATGAGGGAGAAAAAACACTGATGTTATTAAGTTACGGATTGTGAGATGGGAAGATTATCCAGAAGGCCTCAATATAATTAAGGAGTTCTTGTAGGAAAAACACGGGAGGGTCAAAGACAGAAGAAGATGGGATGATGCAATCTGAAGACGGAGGAAGGGACACAAACCAAGGAACATAGGCAGCCTCTACAAGCTAGAAAACAATAAACCAGTGTGTTCTAAGCCTTTAAGCTTGTTTGCTACAGCATCAGAAAAGTAATCTATTTGGCTTTAAAATACTCTGTTCTTAATAACAAAAGAGAAATAAGAAATTGAGTTTTACTCCAATCAATAACGTAAATTCAGTACATTGACAGTACATAGTACTAGCAAGAGCACTGGTTTTGGAGTTTGACACGCTTGAATTCAAATTATATCTCTACCACTTAATAGCTTTGAGTGACCTTAGTCAAGATAGTTGACATCTCTGAGTCTCAGTTTGCTCATGTATAAAATAAGGATAATACTGTCATCAATCTTGTAGGTTGTAAGTACAAATTAAATTAGTTAACATATGTAAAACATTTAGCACTGAGGTTGATAAATTCCAATGTTGATAGAAGTCAAATAGTGTAAATGAGGATCACGCATGCTCTGTTCAAACAGGCCAGAGGCCACTCAGCTCCAAGCAATCACTACCATGTGGATGAGAGGCGAGTGCTGCCAGACATCAAGAGCGACTGCAAATACAAATTTTAACTTGAAATCTCCCAATTTTTAAATACCAACTTTTTTAAATGTTTGAATATTCTCTTTTTAAATTACTGAAATAAAAACTAAAATCTTGTCATATAACCATTTTGTGATCTCTAACCAACCACATGGTAGGTACTTGGTGTTATTGATGCATGTATTCATGTATGAACAGTGACAACCCTTGACAGAATTCTGAATCTTGCAATTCAAGATTCTTACTCTTCCCTTTCTTTCACTCATGCCCTCCATCCCATATTTGTGTTGCAAACAGACTGCAAATGTAGTATCCTCTCTGGCCAACTGCGCCAAATAGCTGTCTACAGCCAAGAGCTCTAGGTTCCAAGTCTAATAAATTTCCAGGTCTGCAGAGGTGCCCCAGGCCTTGCCAGTCCCCCATCACCATCCAAAATGATCTGCGCTGCATCTCAGCCAACTTAGTTTGGACAAAAATCTGGAAAGTTAAAAACCGCTCTAGAATTTTAAAAATACTCTAAAAAATAAAGTATATTAATTTTTAAAATATAGCAGGAAAAAAGAAGGAAAAATCCTAGCTTGTTTAAATAAGAAACCACTCTTTAGTTCTTGATAATCACAGTTAACTTATACAAATTTCATTTGCCTTGTATGAAATAGGAGAATAGCCAGACTATGTACAGAAATTTAATTTTTAAAAATCAGTAAAGGCTTCCCTGTATAAGATCAATCAGTTCCATTGTCATGCACAAGAGCTACTATGGCTAATTTTAGTAGTATAGTCCACTTTCTGTAAGTGTCGATTCTACTCATCAGCCAAAAGACAAAGTGCGAATATAGGAATAATAACAACAAAATGAATGAAACTTTTTATCAAAGCTACTTAAGCATATTTTTCTGCTTCATCCAAAAAGAAAAAAAAAAGGAGAAAGAAAAATCCCTTATAATGTAAACAATTACTTACCATTATTAAACCTAATAAGAAATATTCTTTCAAAATGATACCTGATGTGATGATGAACAAAAGAAATGAGAAATGAATCAACACAGCATGTGAAATTTCTGAAAACTTGGTCCTGAAAAAAGATGAATTTGATGTTCTTTATAATTTGACATGATGAAGGAAAGTGCTAACCATGCGGATTTAGCAAGGGACAGGGATGTAATTTGGCAAGGCATGTAGCCTTCAGTGGCAAGGGCTCCAGGGTAAGAAAACCTATGGATAACTGGAAAACCATTCAAGGGACAGAGTCAGCCCTAGGAGCTAATTGCTCTCTCTGCCTCTCGCTCATAGTCAACATGGCTTAATTTCTCATGTTTGCTGCATTTCTCTCTGCATATCTACTCTGGACTGCTCTCACTCCCATCTACTCATTTCCCAGTCTAAATTCCAGAGAGAATGGTCTGACAGACTTACATAGCAACCATTATTCCTATTGGGCAGAGCCTATCATACCACCACCCAAATCACCAGCCAACTGTGGACTGACCACCTTCTTTAGATCAGGTCACCATCTGTACGCACAATCAGTAACCATTCCTATGTATAATACAAAACAGAGATGCCTTGTTAAAGGTGGAGAAGTAAAGAGAGCTGATCAGCTAGGAGAAGCTAGCTGATCAGCTAGCTAGAAGACCAGACTCTTAACTGAAAAACTTCCTCGGTTTCCACTTATTTTACAAACTAAAAACGTAAGAGATTCTAACCAATGTGGATAGGATATTTTTTATTTTTACTTTTTATTTTTCTGATAAAATACTATATATTTTATAGTTTTCATGATTTAAATATACCTGCATAATTCAATTAAATCAAACTGTTTTGGGGCTGCTTTTTGTTCCTGCTAAAGAATATAGATGATTTATAAGAAATTGCATTCTGCTTTCTTGATTCCTGAAACACTTTTAAGTAAATAACAGCTCCTGCATGCTTCATTTATGTCAATGCTGTGCAGATTTGAAAGAGTTAATATACTTTTTTTAAAGCTAATTTATCCCAGTCAGGCTGGTGGAACACTGTGTTTATATTGCATTTTTTCTTGAATGGAGTCTTTATCTAATCCTCACAGAAATACCCATGACAAAAGTATTTCTCATTTTATGGACGAGGAAACTGTTATAGAAAAGCAACTTATCCAGAGTCACCCAGAGAATTAGTGATGTAAGGATTAGAGTTCTGTATTTAGTACCCAGCACCAGTAACTCACCACAGTCTTTAATATAAACTGTACATTAAATCTATTTTCTAGTTGAACTAATCCCAGTACAAAAGTACCTGAAACTAAGCATGACATTGAGGGAGGACAGGATCTGTCATTTTGCACAGTACAAAAGCTACCTTAGATGGATCTATATTTTTTGTTGATTAATTCATTTCTTTACTTGTGATGATGTATCTTAAAATTAAAAAAGAAAACTCCCTAAATATAAAAATCTCTTGGGGCACCTGGGTGGCTCAGTGGGTTAAAGCCTCTGCCTTCGGCTCAGGTCATGATCCCAGGGTCCTGGGATCGAGCCCCGCATCGGGCTCTCTGCTCAGTGGGGAGCCTGCTTCCTCCTCTCTCTCTCTGCCTGCCTCTCTGCCTGCTTTTGATCTGTCTTTCAAATAAATAAATAAAAATCTAAAAAAAAAAAATCTCTTTAGGACTTTCTGGCACATTAAGGCTGAGTAGAAGACTTCTAACCTCCGATCCAATGCAAGGACCCCATCTTACTTCCCTTAATGCAGTCTCCAGCATCTGTCTATCTACCTCCAGCAACAGAGGTTTCCCTGCCTCACAAAGCCATATGTTTCGCTGTGAGACAAATGTAGTTGTTAGAATGTCCAGGATTTTATTTGTCCATTGTATAAATCCCATTGATGGATCTTTCTTCTGCCTTCTGCTAATATGAAATAATACACCTGATATTATATTATTAAATTAATTAAAATAATAAAATATATTAAAATAATATTCTCTTCTATACAACAGACCTTCAAAGAATCTGAAATAACTGCTATATCACTAGTTGGTCTTCAGTACTTTAGCTAAAGACTCTAAGTTCCTTAACCATGCCTTATGAGATGGTTTCCAGAACTCTCACCTACTCTGATTCTCTCTCCTCTGGATTTTTTATAGATTGCATGAGCATTTCTAATATAAAATACTACATTTTTCAAATTCTGTGACATTTTAGGACACTTCCTCAGTTTCCATTTTATACACATCGGTATAATGTTTGCCAGCTTCCTCCATGTCATTTGACAATCCACAAAGATATAATAAAATGTCAAATATGGTCAAAATGTTATAGTTAAAATTTTTGTAAGAACACTAAATATCCTAGTAACAACAAAATTAAACACAGGCTGAGTCAAAAATACAATCTCGAGTACCAGAGACTAATCATAAATTATACACTTCTTAAAACTGTTATTTACCATTTTATTGCAAATGTTCATTCATTAAGATGAAAATGATAGTGTCACTTATGCATATAATCAAAGTACTCAGACTTAGTTTTTGTTAACTCACCTAACATCTAATTACTCAGATATTGTTGGTGTCTAATAAAAGATTTGTTTTTGAGACAGAACCCACAATGTATTTGGTGTTTTAAGAGTTAGAAATTTAACCAAGTGATATCATCACCCACATCAAACATTTCAACAAGTGAAAGCATTTTCAAGTCTTTTCCTTTTTATATCCATCCAAAAAAAAAAAAAAAAGCCAACTGAACCAACACCTGTCTAATGCACAACCTTATTCCCAAATTAGGTTCTTTGGATTCCTCCTTTTCCAGCAATTATTTAGTGCCACTGATAAAACGTGGAAGGTTAATGGCTTTCTGCATCACTTATTTCCTCACTTGAAGATGGAAACAGATGTTTCACACCTGCACAGGTCTCTTCAATGTGCTGCTACAAGGGGGCCAAGCAGTTTGAAAGTGTATTATAGAGGTCCAGAGAGAGATGCTGCCAGGCCACAGACAGAATCAGCCAGGTGTGGGGACGGCAAATTCAGTCCTCATTCTTACACATTCAGTAAAACCAACCATATCAGAACACTTTGATTCCAGATTTTACTATCTGCCATGGGCACACATTCCAGGGCAGAATTTGACTAAGTATACTGATGAGATCTGGCAATTGCTATGCAATGTGCAAAGAGCACAGTTGGCAGAAAAGACGTACACTATTAGTTTGGGCAGCTACAAAACAGGGAATCCTGCTGTCCATGTGTGAAGCAGGGGAAAAGTACAATGTAAGGGTGACAAAACTTCACCCAGATGCCAGACCAAGATTTGCTGTGTATTTTAGATTTCTTCCATGATGAGGATGATGCAAACAATCTGGCCATCTGTTCCCACAAACAAATAACATGTTGCATAGATAAAAAAAACACCCACACTGACTATAGTTGACAGGGATCCTTTTGTTTTAAGTCCTCATGAGTATGTTTCAAAGTTGTTCTGCTTAGAATCCAAGAATGGGCAGTAACTGGTTTCTCATTTTCACCAACGAGCTGTGATTAAGGATTTATTTTGTAATTAAAATGCTTATCCACAAAGCAAATTAAGCTGGAATTAATTTCTAAATAGCCTAAACTTGCCATAGTAGAAGCAGTGTCATTTTAGAAGGTGTTGGTAATGTCTAGAAAAGATCTGGTAAGATATAAGGATCTAATTAGAGTTAGTTTAATCCAAATGTTATGACAATAAACAGAAATTCCTTATTAGAAGAGGAAAAGAGAACTGTTACAGAATAGTCACTTAATTGGTACTAGCAGAAAAGTAGTACTGTAAATGCAATGCATATGCTATAGCTTGAATGAGTAATGGAAGTATGCAATGCCACTTATATTCATTTGCTTTTATAAGAAATGGTCAATAAAAGCCTCTTAAGAAATACTCTGTTTTATAGATTATGCTTGTTTTATTCAGGAGGGATTTTTTATGATTCTTTTACTCATATTTCATGCTCTATTTCAATACTAATTTGGGGGCAGGGGTGCAGGTGCTCTTAGAAAAATATATGAACACAATGGTTCATAACCTTTTTTGGACCAGACTTCTTGGAGGAGCTCATGCTAACCTTAAATCCTCTCCATGTAAAAAATGCATATGCAGCATACAGTCTCAAAAGTTCCAATCCATAGTTGCACTAGACAACTGTAGCCAGAGGTTAAGAACTCTGCTCTAAAAGATCTTGCAATAATTACCTCAGTGTTTGTAGATATGGGAAAAAAGATTTGGCTTTCATTTTCCTAGGCAGAAATATGTAGTATAATGTTAGAGATTTGAAAAATGATTTTTTGTTAGATAAAGAGAAATAGGAAAATATTGCTTAAACCGAATACATAGGGAAAATAAGACCTTCTCTCTTATTTCTAACAAAAGCTTCTTAGTACAAAATGACATATTGAAAGTGCATTTTTTTTACTCTGAAATCTGTTCAGTACTGATAAGCTTGCTAGTGTACCACATGTGCTTGTGTAAGAAGGACCCTATCCTGCACTCTCAGTAAGATTCTGTATTTGTGGGAATATTTCATTTGGCATATAGACTCTAGACACAGACTCCAAGAACATGATTACAGTAATGGTTCTTTGTATCCTAAGTAAAGTAAGGAATTTGGAGGTTTTTCATTTAAACATACTACTGTGGTTTCTATCTTCTAGCCAGAATTACTGTAATTCTGAAATAAATGTAGGTAGGAGATACATAATGAAGAAACTTGTTTTTGGAAATCCAGAGATTTCAGCTTTCTTAGTCATAAGCTTTTTAAAACTCTAAGTAGTGAGTCCATTTTGTGATTCCCTTTATTCCTGAAACATGTTCCTGAAAAGTTTTGTACTTTGGAAGATTTAAATGGATCATAGGAATTTTCATATTAAAGGACTTACGTGGTAAAAACTTTTGTGAAAGTAAGTGATCACACATGATTTGTCATTTTTTGTGAATCCAGATTTTCAATACTGGATTGGCTTAAGTTTTTCCAATTATAATGTATTACAAAAAATAAGTTATGATTTGAGCATTGATTCTAATTTCCTAAGCACAGTACATCCAATTAAAAATAAATTAGAAACTGTAGACAATGAATAACCATTAAATTTTGTTCATTCTATTTCTTTGCTCCTTCTGTATTTTCTTTTTATATTAAGCCATTTACTTTCATTAAAATCTTCTCTATAATCCAAATATTTACCAGTGAATTGATTATTCTCTTGGCACACTACAATTTAAACTATTTTAATTAGAAATTGTATTTGTAGGCTTGAAGGGAAAATTTTAACTTTTGGACTAAAAATGAAGCTAGTACACATTAGTTTGTATTTCTTATTCAGAAAAGATGTCATAGCTAAAGATGATCAAAACAAAACCAAAAATTTTGTTTCATTAAAAAATTAGAATGCAAAATTCTAAAATAATGTCAATGATATCACTTCTCTCTGTTTTATTCTTCTGAATTTTATGAGGCTTCAGTTTCAGCCACAAATTACGAATAATACCATAGCAGAACTGAAATGCCTTTTGAATGATTATTCCTTATTAATCTCAGTTTAGCCAGTTTCAAAGAGAAATATACTAAATGAACCTTTTGCTGCATAATACACCAACTCTAAGTATACTTTTTATCAGCCTGAAGGTATCTACAAGTTAACTTCACCTGCAGGAGGTCCCACTTTGTTTAGCAGGAATCCTAGGGGAAGCATTCCTATGACTATTTTGGAGAAACAATAAGCTTTTTTGTAATTTATACTGTCCAATATGACTTATCAAGAGTGACATATATTCTTCTGTCTAAATGTTGTTTCCTTTCCACAGATAAAATCTCCGAGAAAAATTCACTCAAAGATCTGACCCCAAGCCCTGACCATCAAAATGCAACAGAATCAAAGGGAGCAACGCCAGAGCAGAAAGAAATGGAGACTGGGAAAGAAGACTTAGTCAGGTGAGAACTGAATAAAACTCACATTACATGTTAGATATATTGCTCAGGCTTCAGTGAAGAAATCAAATGTGTATTCCCCACTTTAGCTGAACAAAGGTTAGGACAGCAGTAGTCACATAAAACAGAAGAACTGGCTGAAAGTTAAAGGTTGTTTCTGTCCAGTTAACTGTCCCTTACTAACTAGTCCTGGTCACTAACCAGGATCTCTAGACAACCATTTATCTATAGGCCAGATCACACCAGCAAAAACATGGCAGTCACACGTCTGAGTCATTAATATCATCAAGGAAACAGCCTACATATTTACTAGACATGAATTTTTAAAAAGAAGAGATTGAACAAAATATATGATTCTTTTCCAAGTTCACAAAAAAACAGCCAATCCAATTCTGTAAATATTTTATTGTTTAGTTGCTATTTCCTTTTATCTGCTAAAGAAAGTGTAGCATGATAACCAAGAATAATTACAGTAACAGGTAATCTTTATGCCACTGAAGAAATACAGTTTTATAAACACTTCCCACAAAATTATTGGAAATACCACAAAAGAGATGACAATTTCAATGTGAATAAGTGAATCCACAATAAAACACAACTAGGAGCCCCTTCATTTTGCCACTTCTTGGCATGCTATTATGTGCTTGCTGATCCAATTTGAATTGCTTAATTATAGTTAATATAATTGCAATAGGCTTATGGAATAATAAAAGCATACTCTTATTTAACAGGCAAGAAGACTTGTCATTTAAAAAGAAATTAGAAGGGCCTTTTCCTCCCCCTAAATCCCCCTCCCTACTTCTTTCTCAACAGCTCCTACACTGTGTTAAACCATGTGCTGCCAATAGGAGTTACAGTGACAATCTAGGACACAATGTATTGCAGACTGAACAACAGGCATCAGAAAGAGAAGGTACACTTTCAATAAACACAAATTTGGCTATATATGGAATTAAATATGAGTTCACTCTATCACACACATATACATAAAAAGCTGTTTGACAAAAATTAAACCTGACATACTATTTATGCCAAGAGATGTTTAAACTCTGGGTTAAAGACTAAAATCTTACAACTGAGCTAAGTAATTATTTATATTATTTTTATAACTGTTGGTGTTTATAGAATGATTTGCAGTTCTTTTAGTGGGTCATTATTATCTTCACTTTACAGATAAGCAGTCAAGGCACAAGGAGGTTAATTAGCTTGCCTATAGTAGTAATAGGGTCAGCTCAGGCAAGATTGGACTGCACAAGACTCAAATTCCTCAGTGGAACTTTTTCCTCCCTCTCATGAATACACTTATTTCAATCAACAGCTTAACCTCCTGAACCAATCTCTCTTTCTGGTATTTATTTTAGTATACTTAATTTTTTGTAATAACCAATGGTGATAGACATGTTTTCAAACGACTGAAGTGGAAGCCATAGCTAACATTTTAGGGATATATTGCTCTTAAACCAAATCTATTTCTAGTATTGTACTCTTCTAAAATATGAAAATGGAAAACTTTCAGTTACCCAGAAAGTGGATCAATCAGTGTATCTCAAAAACAGAAAACTCCTTGAATGATCCCTAATACCATGCCTGGTCTGTGTCTTCCCTTACTTTCCTATCCTTCTACTAATTCAGTCTCTTGTACCTGTGAATTGATTTTTATTTTTTCTGGAATAATTGATTGTTCTTTCTGCAATATAGGCAGCAAAGTGCCTTGAGAATTATTGACAAACTGAGTAAATCCAAATTAGCTTAAAACTCTTTCTTTGTTGTTAGATGGCTGGTCACACTTTTCCTCAGGAATGAGTGAAAACCAGCTGCACTGAAGGAGCAACTTTAATGGGTCACTAAAAGTTCCATTGTCACTTTTGACTAATATTATGGGAATCCTAACATCCGAATACCATGTACAACTTTCCAAAGACTTCCTATTTCAATTTCATTGGCATTAATAGTACCACATCTAGAATCCTAGACAACAGGGTTTTTGTACATCACTAGAAAATATCAATTATAGGGCGCCTGGGTGGCTCAGTGGGTTAAAGTCTCTGCCTTCAGCTCAGGTCATGATCCCAGGGGCCTGGGATCAAGACCCACATTGGGCTCTCCATTCAGCAAGGAGCCTGCTTCCTCCTCTCTCTCTGCCTGCCTCTCTGCCTACTTGTGATCTCTGTCTGTCAAATAAATAAATAAAATCTTAAAAAAAAAAAAGAAAATATCAATTATAAAATGACTTCCAATTGATAGTGTTATTTCACAGTACTCTCAATGAGTAAAGATCATTTTGGTATTTGCAGTTATCAAAAATCAGCAGTTTTTTTCCCTAGAAAAACATTAAGGATTTGATTGATTACAGGCAAAGGATGCTTGTGAGTGACTGCTTCTCACCTCAATTTTTGAATTTGCAAAAAATTAGATTATTAATAAATAAATTTAAAAGTGGATTTATTGCTCCAAGTTTATTTACATTATCTTCTACCTTAAGCCCCATATTGAATAGGGATTATGTGTCTAGGCTGATCAATAAATATTGAGGAAAATGCATGTTGTGGATTTTGCTGTCTCTGTGTGAAGCACAGTTTGATATTATTGATTATACCTTTAATTTTTGTCACATTCAGAAGATGGTCAGAGGTGGATACCAAGAGAACTAACAGTATATATATACTGTACTATATTTACTACAGTGTATATAGTAAATCTGTGGATATATTATATAACAGATTTATTGTAAAGAATTGGATCACATAATTATGGAGGCTGAGCAGCCCCAATATCTTCAGTCAGCAAAGCTAGAGGCCAAAGGGAGGCAATAGTATAGCTCTCGTCTGAATATGAAGGCCTAAGAACCAAAATTGTTGGTGTAGTGCCAGTCTAAAAACTGGCAGACTTAAGACCCAGAAAGAACCAATGTTTCAGTTTTAATCCGAGGGCAAGAAGTCCTCAGCCTGCAAACTGGAAGAGATTTCTAAACATAACCCAACTACTCTGGCAAGCTGATGATGGATTTCCAGTCCCCAGATCTGTAAAAAAATAAATTTCTGTTGTTTACATACTAACCAGTCCCTAATACTTTTGTTACAGCAGCTTGAACTAAGACATCACCATTCCCCAAACTCTTTAACATAGAGCCTCTGTAATGTTCCCTGTCTCAGATATTGTTTTCTAAGAATAAAGGAGTATAGATTTATGTTTAACCCGAATTCTGATATTATGTCTACTTAGCTATTTATATAAACACAGAAAAAGGTGAGTACAGTTTATATTATTATTATAAAGATATAAATTCATAAAATAAAAATCACTTCTGTGATTTTTTTTCATCCAGTCTTCAATAAGATTCTAAATAAAGCTTAAAACTAATTTTCTAGCTGCAGGAATAATATTTATCTCAAATACATGTCAGCCCAGGAGGAGATATTCTTCAAGATATCCAAGTATTATATGTCCACAGTTCTGACTAGAATCCATTTGTATTAAACTAGCTTTCTTTCTTTATCCTTTCTTTTTATATCCTTTCACAACATTTTCTAAATTGTCTATCCAGGGAAAAGAAATTCTTTGCAAATCTTCCCTGAAAAAAAAGCAACCAATTCATTATCTTGTCAGATGAATCATTTAACATCTGAAAGACATGGGGTTCACCCCTGGAAGGTCCCATTGATGCTATTTGTCCATTACCAAGAAAAATGGCCTGTTTCTGGCATTCCATCTCAGCACATTCTTATTTTTTAATATAAAAAAGTATATTTTGATGGACACTAATGAATAGCAAGCAAAAGAAGATGTGTTTTGCCTAGAAACATCAAATAGCTATGTCTGGAAAAGGAGACAGAGTTGAATGGCTGATAGGTTAAGTGGTTAAATGATGAACAAGCAAGTGAGTGAAACGTTCAGTGCCCGTGACTGGGGTGCACTGCAAGACTGACTTTTACAGTATAGTATATGACTTTTCATCACCACTGCTACCCATAATGCCAAGAAGGAAAGTTATTTCTATGAATAGTCTTCTTTGTTCATAATAGCAATCAGTCTCTATTTGGGTGGTTTTAAAATAGGCAATCATTTCACAGCAGGAACAATGAGGACAGAATAGAATTCAGAATCTTATCAGCACTCATAAACACTGCCGTTTATTGTCTTGTAGCTAGAAAAAGCAAGAATCACTGCAGTAAAGTTGCTTAAAAATCCATATGTGATTTTATAGTTGAAATAGAAAAGGAATGTCAGCTCTCAATTTTAACTAAAATAAAATACAATTTATACTTGAATAATTTAAAAGCTTGTGAAAAAGAAAATCAGTTACATATTTACCAATTTTATGTAATGCATAATAAAAAGGATAAACTGTTACTTTTAGCCCCAAATTAAAATTTTCCTCTGTGGTAACCAATACCTTTATAATTAGGCATTGCAAACACTTTTAACAACAGATTGGCATCTGTTTTTAATAATGGCGTCATTTTTAATAATGATTGCTAGCTGCTATTTCTAGCAATATGGCAGACTAAACATTTATAGAAAATTCTTTGGAGAGAACATAATTAAAAATACTAGATAAAATATAAAATCTACATTTGAATGCATGCCTGAGCTGGTGGGAAGTAATTCTATTGTTAGAAAGATTCACGAATTGGTGTTTGCTCTGAGAATTTATTCCAAACTTTTATGGCCTAGATCTGAGTTAAAATGTGTGATCGATGACACAAAACCTAGGGTTAAACTATATATGAGGACAGGTTGGAGACTCCTCCATAAAACTAGAATTCTAAAGTGTACCTCACTGGAAGGTAAACTATCCTCTAGAGAGAAATAGTCTTTGTCTGTGTCCTGGCTCTGAGTGGATAAAAAGGAAAGAAATTTGAAATGGGAAGAGGAAAAGAGAGAAAAAAGAAGAGGAAAGTAGAGAAGAAAGGAGCAGGGACAAAAGGGAAGGGAAGGAAGAGAAAGAAAGGGAAGGAAAGAAAAAAAATTCTTAGTCATAAGCATTATTCAAATAAATCTGG